TTGTTCGCCCTAAACGAAAAACTTTTCCTGTTAGTCCAGTTTTCGCTCTTACGTGGGGGTATTGTAGCATTTTAAATTTGATTGATTCTTTGAAGTATATTTAAAGTCGCCTCGTATATGAAATCGTCTTAATAAAACGAAGAATGTTTTCTGTTTTTTAGTTCGTATCTTTCGAAAAGTGTTTTCAATCATTCTAACGTCGTAGAGTAATAAATCCATTTAATTGTTGTTTATTTTACTGCGGCGATTTCTTTTCATGTAAATGCGTTTCAAAGGATATCTACGTCGTTTGTTGGTTTTGCTATTTCAGCAGTTCGTTGATTCTCAAGTTAAGCGAACAAATTTTTAATTTCGTCACTATCGGTGGAGCCGCTGTCAAGGGCAGTTGGTTTCGTTTGTTTAGTCCGAATTTTCATCAAATTCGTAATGTTTTTTTTTGTTATTAGTTTTTTTCATCAGAAGTATTGAAGTTTGGTAGCATGTGTAGTTACAATTTGAGGTTGGTTTATGATATTGACGGAAAGGTGCTTGGGTGGTATTCTTCAAGGAACCGGCAAATTTATATGTGGAGAAGTGAATATTATACTCAAATGTAATGTGTCAGTTTTTGTCTGAGTTAATCACCGATTTGGGTCGTGCTGTGTTTTGAAGAGCTTTGTGTTTTGAGAAGTTTTGAAAAGCCAAGCTTTGAAGATTGCAGTTTAATTAACCCGAAGTCCGATGGTCCAGTGCCCAGCTTTCATCGTATATTTGTTGTCCCTGGTCATTCCAGACCATTTTGCAGCTTGTGAGAAGCATTTGTTTGTTTTGCAGTGTTTTTGAGTAAAGTTCCAGCCCCAAAACTTTTAAAGGAGATATAATATTCAGTGATATCAGGTACTCTTTTTTTTTGTAAACATTTTTTAAAGTAAAAATAGACAGTTTTCATCGATAATTGCTTTCATGACAAGTTACAAAAATTGTAATAAATAAAATTATAAATATTAGGGATTGGTTAACTGTCATATTAACTATTCTTATAGTTTTAAAAATTTAATCTTGACATATGACAGTTAGCATTATTGTCTTCGGATATTTGGTACATACATGACCATAAACTTTGAATTTGTTTTGTTTTTAAAAAGGTTAACCTCAGTAAGTAAGCTCTATTTAAAAATATGATAATAAATATTTAAATAGTTACCGCTACAAAATGTCGCGCAAATAGGGTCCCCAACGCCCAGAGTTGTAAACCGAAAGCGCCATTGTAAGTCGTTTTTTTTTTGTATTTTGTTAGTATTATTTGTATTTGTAACTGTTTGTGGTACACATAATTAAAGGTTAAATTTTATTTTCTTAACTTTTTATTTATTTTTTTTAAGCTAACCCTTTTTGAGTTTATTTGAAAAAGATATGTTTTGATTTTATTTTCTAATTATTTCCCTAGTTACAACTAGTGGTTGTAATAGGCATAATTAGGCACCTCAAGTGGCGCCCTATAATCAAATTTCTTGAGGTGTTTTCTTGTTTATTTTTATTCTGTTTATCCCAAAAGCCCTTTATTTCTTTTTGTTGTAGTTGCCCCATTCTAACCCCATTTTACTTATCCACGACCCCAGCTCTCCTACGAAACCCTGAGTGTCCGTTCGCACAAGTAGCGATTATTTTGCTTGCCTTATCTCAACCCCTTTAGTTTCTTCCGCCAATTTTCTATCCCCTTGTATTAATGGCCCCTGTGGTAGGCAAAATATTTTCGTTACAACTTATACGAGAGTATTACTTATATTTTGAACCTTAGTAACACTAAATTATGAGTGTAATCTGACATTTATACTAGAAAATTTTATATTTGTAACATAAACTTGCCATGGATAATAACATCCTTGCACTATTGGTGAAGAAGAACTCTCCTTTGCAACTGTGAAATGCTGTCGGAACCAACCAACGAAAGTGATGAATATAGTCAAAAATCAGTTTTATACTACAAATATTTATGTTTTGCAAAAACTAATAATGTAAGATCCTTATGTACGTGCCGGTCTGAGCTCTTCAGTACAAACCGGACGGGAAATTTCTTATCACCGACACACCGCATCGCGTTCAAGAAATGCAAGTTGAGTATAGTTAGTGAGACTGCCAACTTGAGCCAACAACAGAAGTTGCTTGTGCTAAATATCGAAGTAAAAAAGCGACCAAAATATCGGAGGGAACCACAAAAAATTAAACGGATAAGGAAGAAGGTTTATTCAGAAACAGGTACTGACTAGTCACTATTTATATATTATATCTTGAAGCACTATTTATATTTTTGGCTACCGGATGTGGCACAGTTATGCGGGATATTAGGGTTTTCCTTAATTATTTTGGGGTAAGTATTTAGGTTATCGAAAGAGCAACAAATCTGCGACTAACAAAATCAATTGTTCAATCAATATTTGAATTTGCTCGTCAAAACCTTCCTCTCCCATTGTCTGTAAATACGAATGCCAATATACAATAATAATGTTTGTATGGGAATAGAGTGTCTCAAAATTAACGCCCGCCATTTCTGAATATGAATCGACGCAAATTAAATCGTAAGAATAAACATTTTACGTTTTGTTTTCGGTTACTGAGTTATTGACGTTAAAAATATTTTGAAATGTTGAAAGTATAATGAGCTGTGCTGCAGGTAGAGCATACGCAGTAAAACTCTCAGATCGACGTCATCCTGATGCAAAAACTATACGACGGGTTGAAAAAATATTACTCGAAACAAGTAATTTAAATCCCAGATTAAATAAGGGGAACGGCATCCTAGGCACAACGACGTCTAAGAAGAGGAAATTCTTGATTTTGTTTAAGCGGGATCAAGTATAAGTATTTATATCGAGAGAAACTCACTTTCAAAAAGGATATAATCGAGAACTAATAAACTAATATAACATAGATTATCGAGAATGTTCAGGCGACAAAAATTTAGGTTTTACATGATGTAAATAAGGAGCTTTATTATTTATTACATAATATGTCTACTGATAAGTATACGCTTTCTCAGACAGGAACCATAAAACTGACAAGAATGGAAAGATGAAACCCTTTATTTAAAACGTAAAATTTAATATCATCAAAGATAATGGTCAGTTGACATTTGCTCACCGACAATTCCGCGTCGTATTTTCATTTTTGAAATGACCATTTACCACTGCGATTGCTCAATCAAGTTCTATTGGCAACTAGATTGAATTGGTTTCAATATGATGGTGCCCTGCACTTTATGGTATTCATGCACTAACATGCGAAAATTCCCTTAATGATTAATTGGAAAAGGTGAACGCGTAATATGGCCTTCTAGATCTACAGATCTAAATCATTTAGATTTTTTCTACAGGAAATTCTTAAATACTTTTTTATACATGATCCATCAGATATGGATGTGCCACAAATTTTACAGTGAAAAGTAGAAGGAAAACGAGACACAGGAAGGCAAAGGATTTCCTGGCTGAAAAATCTACGTACATGGTTCAACACAAAAACCACAAATATTTTCAGAGCAGCTTTGTGGAAAGGACATATTGCCATGATGGTCGCCAACATCCGATACATATAGACATTGTTGCGTAACAACATTTAATATTTTTATTTAATTTTGCCACATCATCATCATCATCATCATCATCATCATCACATCATTATATCACACTGTATATTAGTTTAAGATTTATAAAATTCTTTTGTACCATCTAATAATCTGTACGGCGCCGATAGCTTGCATTCAAATAACTTTCTAAACATAAGCTTTTAAAATCGTCAAAGAATCATAACAATGAAGGGATTAATGATTTCCAAATTATCGGTTTGAGTCATTCAAAAATTCAAACATAAAGTCAACGTTAACGAAAGTTGAAAAGTACCCTTCTCAGGTAGTTTTACCAATGAAAGGAAAGTCGAAGATATTTTAAATATAAACATACCCTTTATATACGTTACGAGTATATAAACCATTACGAGCCGAGTGATTGAAGGGAGTGAGTGGACGTCAGTTCGAATCCAGCATTGGATGAGCGTTAGGCTCTTGTTCGCACGAGCCGCACCTCAGAAGGTTTAACACAGTCGGTATATTAATAAGTTTACTCAGTTCGTGTCAATATTGTATCATCGACAAGTTATCTAGCTTTTTTGCACATAAATTCAAAGTAAATTTCATAAATCAGCTATCGTAAGCAACGTATCTGCGTCCAAAATACGTTGTGGTACTTGTTAAATAGACTTGTTAAAACGTTCTTTGCGAAACTTTCAAGAGTCCCAGTTTTCTGGGTGGTCCTTCAAAGAAGTATACAAAGTGAACCTATTTCCCTAAAGACAAAACTTGTTCCCCAAGGGAAAAAACCAGCGTCCTATGACTGGTGCGTGAAACAAAGGCATCAGGACAAGGTGTAAGGACAAGCACACCTGCATCTTCGCTCAGACATTACAAGAAGAATTCTTGAAAGAAAAGATTTACTTGGAACTTGTTGAGAGTCCGGGTTCATATTCACGTTGTGTGACATTTATAGACGAGAATAAGCTACAGAGGGTTCAGGATTCAATGATAAATCGTTCAAATGTTTACATTGAAGTAGGAGGCGATTAGTTTTTTTTTGTCTTTTAGAATTTTAGATATTTGTTTTTTAATTTCAATAACGCGGTTACCAACGATATACCGCCAATTTTTTATTCTAAACAATTAATTTATCTTAGTCGACCGATTTGTATTGGGAAAAGAAAGGTGTGAATTTTGAAACACCTTGTATATGTATGAGAGTTCATTAAAGTTATATATGAAATTAAATTGGCATTTAAAGAGTATTCTTTTTTTGGTTGCCGATTTTATTGTTACTCAATCAACTATGACTTTATTTTCAAAATAATTAAAAATCATTGACCCCAATAAAATCACATATGACATTTTCTATATCACATCCGGCGACACTACACTAATTAAAGCATTGTTTAAAAAATAAATAACGATATTACGTAACAAAATTTGAACACCTACTTACCGTACATTCGGGCTCGGTTGGCTCCCGGGACTTCGGCTTCTGTGGGAATTGGGAGGATATGCCTCGGGCGGTAATCCGTTTTCGATCGGATGTTCCGCAGTGGATTGGGGATGATTGGGGTAACTGGATACCCCGCCGCTATGCCTCGACCTTGGAACTTCTCCGTGCACAGCTGCCACCGATGGATGGATATTGTTAACTTGGATTTAAAAAAAACACCATTAAGTGTTTACAATATTTTTTTTATAATGAATAAAAATGGTTACAAAATTAGATACCTAGACTGAACAATCTGTAAAATTATTGACTATTTAAACCAATTAAATCAACCCACTGAAATCGAATGATGAAAGTTTTAAAGCAGTATGAGGTTTGTCTTTTTAGTTTGGCATATAGCCGCTTAGAGGGCGCCTCCGACACAAGTGTAACCTCAATCTTTTTTTGGAATAAATCGAGAGTTTTATTGCGATACAACAAGTCGATACAGCGAATTTTTGAAATTAGCAAGTCGATTGAAAAATGAGTCTTAACCGACAACATTTTCGAGCAATAATTTTTTAGTATTTTCGGAGAAGATTATCCCAACAGGAATGTCTCTCTGAAATGGTTTCTGTGTTTGGGAATGAAGCATCACACCAGTCAACTATTTCCCGCTGGTATTCGAATTTCAACGTGGTCGCTCCAGTCTCAGCGACGAATCCAGGCCAGGTCCACCCAAAACAGCAGTCACACAGCAAAATAATGATGCGGTTCGTCTGCTAATTTAGGATGACCACCGTGTTGGGAGATAGAGGCATCTTTGGGCATTTCAAAGACCCCGATCCAAAAGATCCTACATGAAGAACTGAGTTTACGAAGTTGGTTTCCCATTGGATCCCTCATTTGATCAAAGAAGAGCAAAAAGCGGTTCGTGTCAATTGGTGCCAAAAAACATTGGAACGTTTCAACAAAGGAAGCTCCAAAATATTTATAGTGTTGTTCGTGGCAATGAATCTTAGATTTACTACTACGAACTGAAAAAAAAAGCCAATCGTTTCACAATGAGGAAAAACCAACAAAAGTAGTCCGTTCTCGAAGTGTGTCAAGAAAATGGTCGTAACTTTTGTGACAAAATCTGGTCATATGGCAACAATTGGTTTAGAAGATCGAAGAACGGTTACTTCTAATTGGTATGAAACCGTTTGTTTATCAGAAGTTATCGCGAAACGCCGACTAAGCAACACAAAACGACAAATCATATTACATTAGGACAATGTAAGTGTTCGAGCTGCCCATAAGACAATAGAGTTTTTGGAGCTTCAAAACATCGAATTGTTAAACAATCCACCGTATAGCCCCGACCTAAATCCCAATGACTTCTTTACATTCCCAAAGGTCTGTCTCTGGTAAAAACAAGGTGCAAAAAACACTTAGCAGATACGCTGCTCAATCAATACTCAGCGTCCGATCGTTTAGCTTGTCAGAGGAGTCTGGTAATTAAAGAAAATTAGTAATTTCGCAGTTAAATGTCGTTTGCTGTACATTAAAAGCTATCGCTATATCACGAGTAGTTCCAAAAAGTGTAATATGTTCAAATCATGAATGTGTTGCTTGTGTGAATCCATTTCAAATAGGTAAAGAAATAATAAATAAGACTTACTCACAATCAATTTAATTTAACTATCAGACGACCGGTTTCGCTTTCTACAATACGCAAAGCATCCTCAGGTCTCGATACAAAGTTAAACAAATGATGCCGGTACTCTATTAATAGATGGATGGTAGAACATGGTTGAAACTACTTTATATTGTTGAATGTAGAACTCAATTCTATCACTGCAGTTGTTTGACAGTAAACGGGAAGTTCTTGAGGAGATAGATTTGATCCAATGAATTAGAGATATGTGTGAGATTGTTTGTTAAATGTAAGTGATGTAATATACTATTGTGTTATTAAAGGCTATTTATACTTATTCCAGAGATATATTTTTGAAATGTGTGTTATTTATTGAGTAATTATTTTTTTGAAGGTGACAGTTTTATGACAATGAATAGGTGTAGATGTAAAGATTGTGTGGGTGTGCAATTATTTTCACAACTTGTAGTTATCAAATTACTTTGATAAAGTTCTATTGGCAATGAGTTAATTATTGGAATAGTCAAGTAAATAAAATGTTAAAATACACACAATTAAGGATAATTTAAACACACTAAAACAGAAAACACTTAGAAGGGACGAAACAAACATTGAATTTAAAAGGGGGGAAGGACTTGCACTACATCATAGTCTTGGGCACGATGAGAAAAAAAGAAAAAAAAAACTCATTGTGCCCAAGACTATGATGTAGTGCATTAAAGTTTCTGCTAAGAAACAAAACAAAAAAGAGTCTAACAAACGTATAGCAGAACACAGAAAGGCTTTCAATAATAGAAAAGCAGATTCTACATACGCACTTCTAGATCATACTCATTCTTTTAACGGCCAATTTCAAATTATCCATATTCAAAATATATTTTTATTAGAATCTATGGAAATTAATACACTAAAAACCACAGATATAATTTAAGAACAACTTGAGACAAACAGCTCTCCACTCCTTAAAGTATTCAGTTAAAGACTATAAAGTGTAGAAGCATAGTAAAAATACATCAATTGAGAAAAGTGGTGGAAATGTACAAAACAAAAGTTTCCAGTATTTTATTATAATCAATCACCTTATTATATGATATAGAGATTGGACAAAAAAATGATGCAGCATAATATTCACAATATAAAATACCATTGTTGAAAGTCACTAAAATTTTATAGTATTCGTTATGTATGTATAAGAACTTCTTTATTTAGAATAATTACATTATAACATAACGTGTCCCTAACTAAAATCTGACGTGGCGGCATCGGAGGACATTAAGAAAAGATGCAGATTTTCCGCAGTCTTCGAAATTTTCCCCAGCACCTTTTGTTTGCATATAATTCAACACAGAATCGATAAAAACGTTCGTTTTAATTTGGTGCTTGTTTTAATTTATTAAATACTTTGAAAACATATAATAACTTTATTATTTTTGATTAAATTAATATATTTATGTAAATAAACAAAATAAAATTATTGCATATCAGGGGAAATACTAGCTGGAGTGAGTTTATACATGGAGATTGAAGGCTGGCCATATCTTCTGACGGCTTCATTGATAAAAGCATTTTCCATTTCTTGAACTAAGTACTTGAAAAACACTGACGCAATATGAGAATAAATCTTCGATTTAAAGCAAAATTTAAGAGAATAATCAGTCAAGCATGTTCTGGGATTACTTTTCAAAGCAGAATTAAACACCCAAGTTGATTCTAGGTAATGAAACAGCCTACCATCGAAGCATCTGGCCTGAACTAAATTCGATTCGATGAGCTTAACTATAGATGTATAGTTTTCGACTATAGGCGGAAATCCAATTTCCAAATTTGCTATACATTGCTGATTGTCATTGGATAAAATTGTTGATTTTGTACAAAATGGTAAGAATTTATCATAGTTTTTAATATCTGCCACTACTTCATACAGCTCATGAGTAGAAAAACTAAAAAATAATCAGATTACTCTACTTTATTTGCTTTGTGAAGGTTTAATAAGTTTTATCAAGAAAAGTTTTAAGGAAAACAGAAATTATTGTAAGAAGTGCTCATGAATCACAACCCTTAGTTCAACATACGGCTTATTATGAAGATATTTAATAAAAATATTGAACATAGATGCCCTAGAAGGGAATGGTTTTAAACCAGAAAGATCACCGACAAATAATCTATTTATTTACTATCAATATGCAAATTACATTTTACATTTGCTGGACGTTTCGATTTCCAGTGCTCGTTTTCAAAACATTCAGATAAAAAATTATGAATGATCTTAACCTGTAAATGTTTATCATCGATGGTGGGTGGTAATAACAACTTGACAATTGACTTAATTGGCCTCGATATTCTAGGCATTAGCCATATTTTGAGATGAAATTCGAGATGTTGAATTGATATCAAATTCTGACCTTTACGTGCTTGTAGTTAATTATACATGATGTGTCTCTGACCTAGAGCTAAGTAACGTATTTTAGCGAGTGACTCATGTTTTAATGGTTTTTATGGGTCAGTGAAATTTGACTTTTACCCTTTAGAAAAAAATATTTTTGTTCCTACAAAAGGAGAAAATTTAATTATTATTGAATAAACAAGTTAGTGGATTGTTGCAGAATCTGTTTAATCTCTTAAAAATTGACAAAAACCTTCTTTTTCTGAGTGTTCAAGGAATCTACGTTCAGATAGAAGAGATTCATTTTATATGAAATACATTTCAATAATTTGACTGGTCTATTTTTAAAATAAACTAGACGAACACACTGGTCAAACTCAGTTTGGTTTTAAGAATGGGTTCGGAACAAGAGAAGCACTTTTTTCAATACGTGTGCTAGTTGAAAGATGTAGAGATGTCGATTCTGATGTATACTTGTGTTTTATAGACTTTCAGAAGGCGTTTGACCTGGTGAAACATGATAAACTAATAGACATTTTAAGGTCATGTAATATCGACGATAAAGACTTAAGGATCATTTCAAGCCTCTACCAAGAACAAAAGGCTAAAATCCGAATAAAAAGCGAAACATCTGAAAAAATCAATATCGAGAAGGGAGTAAGACAGGGATGTGTCCTATCACCTTTGCTGTTCAATGTTTACTCTGAAAAGATATTTCAGAAAGCTTTGGAAGGCACCTCGGATGGTATAATTATAAACGGGCAATGTATAAATAACCTGCGATATGCTGATGACACTGTCATACTGGCAGATAAAGCTGAAGCCCCGCAACGCTTAATGGACCGAGTAACAACAGCCTGTAGAGAATTTGGAATGAAATTGAATACAAAGAAGACAAAAACGATGGTCATCAGCAAGCACCAAAACAGAAGGGTGAAGGTCAATGTCGACGGAACAGATCTGGAAAGAGTAACAAGAACAACGTACCTTGGAAGTAATCTTGATGAAACTTGGGACCACTCACTAGAGATAAGAATACGCCTGGAAAAGGCACGTACAATGTTTTACAAAATGCAAAAAGTTCTATGCAACCGCCAGCTGAGCATCTCATTGAGAAATAGAATACTTAAGTGCTATGTTTTCTCCACCTTGCTCTATGGTGTTGAAGCCTGGACACTGACAGAAGCTACACAAAAAAGAATCCAAGGATTCGAACTGTGGTGTTACCTAAAATGCTCAGAATATCCTACATGAGCCATACGACAAATGCGGAAGTCTTGCGGAGGATAAATAAGGAAAGAGAGCTTATGGTTATAATAAAAGAACGGAAAACACAATATTTTCGTCACATCATAAGAAATCAAAAGTATGAACTGCTCCAACTTATAATCAAAGGCAAAGTCAATAGCAAAAGAAGACCAGGAAGAAGACGCAACTCTTGGCTTAAAAACCTACGGCAATGGACGAACTTGACCTCCATAGAACTATTCAGGGCTGCTACAAATAAGACGTATTTGTAATTCGATTGCCACCATACCATTGTGAGTTAAACCCGATAGAACTTAAAATAAAAATAAAATAGCTAGGAACAATGTTACTATCAAATTAAATGATGTAAAAAACTGCTTAATAGTGCCGTCAGTAACGTGACCTCACAGTTGTAAAAAAAAAGGTCTCGAACATGTAGTAAAAGAAGCAGAAGATGTGAAACCTTGATAACTTCATTGAAATTACCATGGAACCAGTTATTGTGGATCTAGGAAGAAGATACTACTGATACTTCTGAAGATGATACAGATTATTAGATTAAATAGAATGTAAGTTTTTATTTGAACATATTTTTTTATATTTTATGGAAATAAATATTCAGTTAAAATGAACCATTTATTACTAACTAGTACTGTTTCGTACCAAGAATTGTTAATAATTCAGTTTCACCTGTGCTAAAAGTTACTAGACGACCCTTTTTCTAACCCCATGACATTAAGTCTCATTTGACAATAGGAATTAAATTTAATCCTTAAATCAGTCATAGGTTTGTTAATTTAAAAGGATAAAGGGTTTTTCCCAAAAAAATATATTTAACAAGGATTAGTTTTCTTCATCTAAGGCATCAATAAAATAAAAAAATAATTTGTATGAAAATCATTTTCTTCTAAAATCCTGATTATTTTTTAATAATAACCGCACGCCTATGACTCGTTGATTTCCTTTCCCCTGAGACTAGCAAAGGTCTACATTGAAAATATGAGTCACACTACAATTGTGATACTATAGCATACTATTAATTCGTTGGCCTTATAAGTTATAAGTATAGTTTTTTTTTTAACAAAGAATGTATAGCACAAAAGAAGCTTAAAAGAACGTGAATATGATACTCCAAGAGACGAGAGATAGATAGCGACGGAAAGATCTAATATAGTAGTATTATTTGCTTCTTTAGACCTTACCCTAGTAGTTTCCTAGCTTCATAGTGTTTCTGGTTATCAGAGGCCACACAATAATTCCGAAAGCTGTATAAGTTATTTTGTATATTTGGTAAACGAGAGAGGCTATAAAGTTTCTGCATAATTTCATATTTATGAAGTTGAATTTGACGTTTAATTTAAAATGACAATCATTCTTCTTAATTTAGAATAATGTTTGTTCTTGTAGATCAGTTACCAATAAGATCCTGGGGATCACTTTCGGGAGATCACTTCAAGGTTAAAAAAGAAAAATTAGTTTGATGAAAGGAAATTGCTTGATAAAACAATCTGAAGAATTTGAATACCTTTAAAAAAGACTTGTGTATTGAATTATGTAAAAAAAGAAGAAATTGGTGGTTCTGTTTGTAAATAACCAAAATAACAAAAAGGATGAACGTATCTGAAATAGAAACTGCGAAACAGATAAACTACCTAAGTAAACTGAAATTAACGACCAAAGTGATAACAAATAAATTGAATGAAATGATAACACTAGCAAAAGAACAACAAGGTTTTAGGTCGGGAAGATTATGTACCGACGCTATATTTATAATGAGGTAAGTACAAGACAAATCATTAGAATACATAGGAACAAACCGGCATATTTATGTTTCATGGACCTTACAAAGGCATTTGACCAGGTCAAGTTAAAAGACGTTATTCACTTACTGTACACAAGAGAGATACCTCCAGGAATAATCAAAACGATCGAAAATTTCTACCAAAACAACACAATAAAAGTAAAAGTAGAAGAACTAACCGACCCTATTGAAGCTGGCAATTGGGTATGACCCAATTGTCATTGGATAATATTGTTGATTTTGTACAAAATGACCCAATTGCCAGCCAATTGAGATTCATTGAGTCATCTATTGTTCAACCTGTTTACGGATCAAATAATAAAAAAAGAAAGAACTAAAAACGGATATCAAATGGGAGAAAAACAACTTAAAATAATCTGCTATGCAGACGACGAATACTACTCTCTCAAAGTGATGATGATTTACAACGTATACTGCGCCAATTATAACCGCCAGAAAATGTAACGTGTTAATTTCCCCAAAAGGGATAAAATGCATGGTTACAACAGCAAATTTACTAAGATGTAAATTGGAGCTGGAAGGTCAGATAATAGAACAAGTGATGGAGTTTAAATATCTAAGCATCACATTATCTAGCTACGGAAAGCTCGAAACCGAAGTGGAAGATCAATCGAATATAGCAAACAGAGCCTGCAGAGGCTGATTAAATGAAATAATATGGAGAAATAAAAATATCGGGAGGAAAGAAACGAAAGGCAGAATTTACAAAACAGTCATCAGACCAATAATGACATACGCGGCAGAAACAAGACCTGATAGAGAGAGGACAAAAAGGATGTTAGAAACAGCAGAGATGAAAACACTTGGAAAAATTGATGGTAAGACATTATAGGACAGAGCTAGAAGTACAGATATACTACGTAGATGCAAGATGAAGAACATCAAGAACTGGTAAGAAATAGAAGGATAGAATTGAACGATGATAGCCGAAGGACAACATATAGAGTAGTAAAGACGGCAAGAGACGGTTCGCCAATAGGAAGACGGTCAGTAGGAAGACCACGAAAACGATGGAACGACAACTTACTGGAGACACATTGAAAAACAGACAGAGTCATGTCTATATAAAAAGAGGAAAAAAAGGGGTAAATTGTAGAATATGTATATTAGGAAAATATAAAGATGAACGTGGAACAAGCAACAGAAAAAGTGATTGACAAAAAATATTAACAAACCATAATGAAATTCGCATGAACTGGGTAACTGCAGCAATTCTTCGGGACCATCTATACTGATATCTGGATGTGGTCACTGAAAGTTAAGAATATTAAGTTTTCAAACAAAAATTAGGTAAATTTCATTATAGGGTTTGGTAAAGTCAGTTATATCTTGGGAACTACACATTTCCGACTAAAATGAAAATCATATTCGAAATCAGTACCTTAAACCTAACTTATGAGAAAAGTTTTTAGAAAATCAGCTACAAGGTAAGTGGTATACGTTGAAAAAATTTAATTGGTTTGGAAACTGTGCCTTTACTGGAACTGTAACTATAATGAATAAAAATTGCCACAAGATGGGAATTAAAAAAAAAAATAGAACAAGGCATCGTATCTATCTAATCTTCCATCGATTTGGATTTTAAATTATGTGTCACTTGCTCTGATCTCCAGATTTTGCCCCCAGCAATTATCGTATGATTCCAAACCTAAAAAATGGCTATGAACTAACGGAATTTCGTATAATCACGAAGTAATCGTTACTGAAATAATTATTATTGAAGACTTATCGAGTTAATACTTTGGTTATTAAGCTATTGATTTAAATTTTTTAATAATTATTTTCTTACATTACAAATAGGAAAATAATTACCTGTGTGCGGATGCGACGAAAGGGGAGCAGCAGGTGGTTGGCTGTTGAGAGGAAGAGCTAACCTAGCATTAATTGCAAGTAAATGGTCCCTTCTTCGTACCAACGAGCTCACGTGTTCTTCTAACCTCAAATTTTCTGCTCGAAGCTGATGCAGACAAGAAAGGAGAGAAGCAACTGAAAAATAAAGAAGTACTTTAAATATTAAACATTTCTACATGAAACATCGGAAAATAATTTTATTATTTTTTAAAATTTATTAAGAAACCTATAGTATTGTGCGAATTAATGGAATCATAGGCCGTTTTAATGGAAAAACAGTTTATTTAGAAAAAAAAATAGATTTTGACAAAACTATAAAGGTAAACCTACAACATTCTACGAGCTTCTGACAGTTCCAAATATCCTTTCATCTCGAACCAAACCTGAATGACCATTTCATCATTTTTATTTTTGTAGTACAGTCGATTTTGCGCAGTCTAGCTTTGCAAATGGCCCATAAATCTTCAATGGGGTTGAGGTCTGGAGAATTACCGGGCCAATCTAAAACATGAATCTTCTTATTTTGTTAATCTGTTTAATTAATCTGTTCCAACATGGATTTGTATTTTTGGCTGTACATCATGCCCTCGATTGATACCATAGATCCAACCCCCATGTTTGAAACACATCCTCAAAACATTTTTTTGACTGGAAATTTTAGGGTTTGGTCACTATCAGATGGGGTAAGGTTTTCATTGTCAGACTTCCTGGCTAAATTCGACAGCTGTCCCTAAACTGTAAAGTGAGTTTCATCTGCAAATACGACTTTTCTCTAGTCGTCTACAGCCCAATTAGAGTATTTTTTTTGACCCACAATAGCCTTTGTTTCTTTATTCATTCAGTTAGAAGCTGTTTTTCTCTGTGGACGCATTGCCCTTCTACCATTCTCCAAAAGTATTTTCCGAACAGTTGAGTCATAATTCACTACATCTGATGCTGCTAGATCTTGTTGGAGCCCTTGTGGCTTGTTTTTCTTGGGTTCAATTTGCCTTTTCCAAGTAAAACTCTTTCATCTGTTGGTGTTGTTTTTCTTTTTTCTCCGCATTTTCCTAACCTCTTTACACCCATTAATCTCGTTTACACTTCCAAATCTTGCTTACTACCCCCTGACTAACTCCACTGATTCTTACCACTTCTCTTTGGAAAAGAAGTTTGTTCACTTAACATGATACTCTTTTCACGCTTCCTAGGCGTAATATCCATGATGGAATTAAAAGAAACAAACTCACTAATTACCAAAAACAACACAAACTTGTGGGAAACGTCCTAAAACACTCTCAAATAAAAGGCAAAGAAAATTTAGGTTATGTTTTAAATGCTTGGTCAGTTGTTAGTGTGTGGACAGTGTTGCCAACTGTGAATATTGAAAAATATCATAATGATTCCATTAATTCGCCCAATACTGTACTAGACACTTTTTAAAATCAGCAAAAAAATATATAAATAATAATACTCACTATCAAAATGTTGAGCTTGTTCCATCAAAAACTGAGATCCTTGTTCCCATTGCCTTTCGAGTAACTGATCCAAGGACTGCGGTATAGTACCACCTCCGCCGCCAAGCATAGAAGACAGTCCACTACCTCCAGAAGCAGTGCTAGAACCCGTACTACTTGCTCTTGCCTGTAAATTAATAGCGTTGGTTTCGACTTGGACGACATCGCCACTCTCAGAGTATCTTTCTCTTTCTCTCGGCGCTTGCTAACAAAAAGGGATAAAGATACTCTAACATAATGTATACGATATGATTTATTGTAAGTGTGTCGCTGTGAAGATATTAAAAACAATATTTTTTTACAGAACCAGAAGTGCTACTGATGTTCCAAAAAATGTGTACAAAAAGTATTTTTACGAAAATACGCATTTTTCAATGTCGGTTATAGATGAAATAATATATAAGATGAATTACTTTGCTGACACAAAAACACTCCTTTGGAAATTATTGATGATCCTTTTGACGATAAAGCGCCCTATAAAGGGATAGTGGAGATGGTGATAGGTTAAATACCATAAATATTAAACATTCACCAAGAAGTAGAACAGGATTAAATCGGAAGATGTGGGACACCAATTGTGATCACCAAAATAAACCAAAAGAGAAAATACTGTTACTTCAAAAGTTATAAAATCTCACAAAATACATGTATTTCATAAGATTATTCCTAGGAAACCTAAAATTCCTAGAAAACCTAGTTTTTTGTTGCTTAGACTGTTGGTCATACAGCTAAGAAGATTATATTAAATCTATAAAGAATTGCTTATCAATAATAACTAAAAAATATTTAAAATAAGATCTATAATGTTGTGTAAGTGTGTGTCAAATAGAAGTCACTATTAAAATATTATACTTTTAGAATACTCACTTGCTGCAGTACTCGATGGTGTAATTGAGGTCCTAGAAGACTAGAACTACTTTCATTTGGATTAAATATGCTGTGAGCCTCTAATTCATTGGTAAGATGGTCATTCATTTTAGAATGCATCGTTGAATTAGGATTTAACTGGTTGCCTAACATATGGGGTGCGGCTATGCCATTCTGAAAACTAAAATACACATTTACACAATATAATTGTTGCTATACTCTGTCCTCTTGAGAATGATAGCACAAATCCTCTAACGCAGGGGTTCTTAACTGGAGGGGACGTAAGGACATGTCAGGGGGAGGCGCGAGATAAGTCGAAAATTAAATTAAATTTAGGTAATCTTTCTAAAATTCTAAATTAACCATGATGTTTAGAAAATTAAAACAAACCACTGTAACATCTGACTTTACACATAATTTGGAAATCGAATGTTTGAAAGAATGGAATGTGAGCCGTTCAATGTGGCAATAGCGTGCATTTGATAACCGAGCGTTTCCAAGCACTGCTTCCCTCTCTCCACCAGATGTTGACCAGCTAACTGCAGCTTAATTGTGACTTAGTGTTTGAGATATATTGGCCTAGCCTGCACGTATTTTTTAATTATAAAAGCGTACGTGTTGTGAAATTTGAATTGTCATAGTTGACTTTCATTGATTTCGTTGATTTGAGCGAGAGAAGTTATTGTATGCGTAAAGATAATGTGGAACATCCTCAGGGTGTAATTTGCTATGAAGTATTAAGCAATGATAATGAATAATCGTCTTGAAAGACATTTGTCATCCAAACATAACTCTTTTAAGGACAAACTAAAGGAATTTTTTGCTACAAAATCTGAAAATTTAAAGCGCATGAAGTTGGATAGTACTGCTTCTACGGCTCAGTCATCTGAAAGAGTGCTTGAAGCTTCATATGAGCTATCACTTCTGATTGCTAAAGAAAAGAGCCATATTATTGGTGAGATGCTTGTTAAATCGTGTTTGTTAAAGGCAGCTGATATTATTCTTGGAACGCAGAGTAAGCAAAAGTTATCTCAAATACCTCTTTGTGACAATACTGGAAACTTCGCATTGATGATATGGCCGAAGACACACAAAACCAGGCAGTTGATGCAGTAAAACAATCGCTATTTTTTGCTAATCAGCTAGACGAGAGTAAAGATATAGCACAATGTTCTCAGTTAGTTATTTATGTTCGGTATATTGAAAACGAAAGAATAAAAGACGAGCTACTCTTTTCTACAGAGTTGGAAACCACGACAAAAGCTATTGTTATGAAAGCAGTGTCAGATTTTTTTGACAATCATGAACTGTCTTGGCAAAAACTGATCGATGTATGTACGGATGGCGCGCCTTCAATGCTTGGTTGTCGCTCAGGATTTATAAAATTAGTAAGAGAGAAAAATGTTGATGTGACTGGGATACATTGCACTATACATCGACGAGCCTTGACAGCAAAAACTCTTTCAAATGAACTGAATGCTGTTTTAAAGTTGTGTATTAAAGTAGTGAATTACATAAAAAAAAGAGTACGTTGAATACTTGACTGTTTAAAACTAGTTGTGAAGTATTAGTGAGTGATCACAAAACACTGCTATTTCATACAGAAGTACGATGGCTCTCAAACGGAAACATGTTGGCAAGATTATTTGACCTTCGAGATGAAGTAATCATCTTCTTGGAACAGCAAAAGGAAAATTAACTAAGCGAGGCATTCAAAAAACATTGTATCCAAGTAATATTGGCTTATTTGTCAGACATCTTTGGCTCGTTGAACAGGCTTAACCGAAAACTGCATTGTGGAGACTTAAATATAGTTACTCATCGTGATGCGATCAAGATGTGTATTAAGAAATTGCAACTTTGGAGGCGTAAAATATCAGCAAACCCCTGCAATTATTCGAGTTTCCCCGAAGTAAAGTCAATCTCAGAAGAAACTCGCTTCAAGGACATTTATAAAGGATCAAGTTTGAAAATCCAAAAATCAAACCTAATTGAAGAGTTCCAGAAATACTTCCCAAACACTTGTGACGATAGTAAACATGATTCCTCTGTCAAATAAAACTTTGATATAATAGACAAACCTTCATTTTGGTAAAAATATTAATACACTAGAATACCGTGATACACTAGAATAAGTGTATTCTAGTGTATCACGGGAAGCTCTTCGTTTATATTTGCCTGTTTGAAGCACCTTTTGTGCGAAAAAAGCATTTTCAACACTTGTGGCAATTAAAACAAAGTATCGGAATAAACTTGATGCCGCTAGTGACTTGGGCACTTACTAAAACTCAGCCACGAATAGACATACTAGTAAAGAAAAGAAAATGCAAGCACATCCATCTCACTAACCAACCTAATCTATATTTCTTTTATTAATAATTTTTGTATTTTATAAATACTGATATTATTGTATATTATGGCAGTATAAATAAATATTTTGTTTTCTATGTAATACTTATTGAAATTATACTTATATACGCACGGTCGGCGTTGGAAATTTGCATGAGAGTGCATTTGTGAAAACATTACATATGTAAGATAATGAGTAAGAGAGAGACAGAAGATATATTTTCTCTCTCTTCCTCTCTCGAAAATAAAAATTTTCCTAAAATATATATGTAATATAATATTAATATTATTATTTATGTGATATGTTTTGTATTATTTTAGGCTTTTGTATTTCAAAATAATCACTGTTTGACCGAGAACTGTCAATTTTGAAATCCGTTAGTGTAATGTCTAGTTGGCTAATCTTTTACGTGTTTGGTTCATACGCTGGTGTTTGTGAGTTCGAATCCCAATAAGAATTTTTCTTTTTTGTTTTTAAAATATTTAAAAACCCCACGTTAATCTTATTAAATATATGTAATATATGCAAAAATGCTAAATTTTAAAATAAAATGAAAATTTACAACATAATCTGAGTTGGTTTTTTATTTTTATCTTCGTAAAGTAAGTTATGTATATTGGCAGTTTTAAATACTTATAAATATTGCATTTTAATTTATATTGTATTATTATATTAATAAGAAAATAAACAATGAATTTTACTGTAGAGTATATGTAAAAAATGTTTTTGCATTCAACTCCTTTTATACATATATGAAAATATGTATTTTCATTAAAATATTGATACAATCTTTCATTTACTATACTCCTATTACAGGTCAAATGTTTATATACAGCAAACGATACACCATTCTTTATAACTAATTATTTTTCTCTTTCTGCTTTCTCTTAGCTATAGCGTTACATATGTAATGATTGTGCAGATAATCTCCCATATAAATTTTTAACGGCGAAGGCATGTATAGAAGTATAACTTCTACCGGCAGTCCCACTGGAGTGCCACACCCGTTTTTTTTTTGTTTTTGTTTTGTTCCTAGGCCCATACAATTTATTTGTTAAGGGATGTAGGCACAAAAAACTTTTATTTCAACAAAAGGGTGCGAGGTACAAGAAAGTTTGGGAACTCCTGCTCTGACGCATATTATTATCCTCCATAAACCATAGGCGCAACATATCCCACGAGTGCGAAAATTGAAAATTTGTAATAAACGTTAATAATTTTTTAATAATATTTAAAATATATAAAAATGATTCATTTTTGATAATATTCATCCAGTTGTGAAGAAAAAACCTTATTTTTTACTAATCTAATTGGTCTAATACTATAAATAAATTTAGATTATAATAAAATTTCATTTTCCAAACATTTAGTTATATCCAATTCCCCAGCACTGAATCGGTAAATCCTTCGTTTTCGTTTAATTGTATCTTCTAGTGTTTCACACAGTTCCCGCTTCAGTTTTTTGAAGTTATAATGAGGTGCTGTGCTATCAAGCTCAATAGGAGGGAATGTAAAATTGTTAAACTTATCGCTACAACAATGTTGAAAAATTATGGAATAAGGATTTATTCAATAACTTACAAAAAGTCGATTCTTGAAAAACTGTGTTTTAACACGTTGCCTTCCGTAAAGGATTTTGTAATACTTTCCGTTCACGCCATAGTGACAGAGCCGGCCCCATAGTTACATTAAAATTCTCGGTCATATAGATCGAGACAGGCAATGTGTTAAATAATAAAAACTAGATTCAAATGTGCTACATAATTTACATTAAATTGTTTTACTTACACTTTAACATCTTTACTATCCTTAGATGATCCAGAGCCACCTGCCACCACTGAAGAATCGCTTTTCCTTGCTCTCGTCCTTCGACCAACAGGAGCTCCACTTTGACTCTCCGAGCTCGGACTACTGGGAGGCGATTCCTTAATCTGCGACGGAGGTACTATAGAACTGAAAGCCCCAGGAGGTTCCGTAGGCGGGGTGGAAGCGTGTGATCTGCTAGATCTTTTAGGAACTGTAGTGTTATTTGGTAAAGGTGGGGTAGGAACTGGCGTTGAGGTGGTTCCGGTACTATTTCGTTTTCTGTTTCGGCTTGAGCGATCACTCTTGTCGTTGGACTGCGACTGAGATCTTTAGACAAAAAAAAGTTAATAGAACGGACGAAAGAACAGTAAGATTAATTTTTTTACCTTCCTCTTTTGGCAGGTACTTCAACATTGGCAGAAGGGGCAGTATCAAGCTCCAATTCCATATCGACTTCGGTATTTATAGAATCGGGTTGTTTTTCGTATGTAATTTTTAGGCCTCCCGAATTCATGTCTGGGGTGAGCATTTCTTGATTACTGTTACCACCAATCATATTATCTAAAGAAAACATAGTTAGAATAAATATATATATATATATATATATATATATATATATATATATATATATATATATATATAAATTCCATTATGGTATAGAATATCCAAAAGACTTATTTAGAAAAAAAAATGTTGACAATGATATTCTCCATACTTGGAAAATATGTGGAATTCTACAGGGTGATTAATAACTATGTAGTATAGCAAAAACAATTTTTTAAATGGGACACCCTATATATTTTTTCAAATTTGTATTCTTCTCAGAGTACTTAACAAGTTATGACCATTTTTAATTCAAAATCCCTATGAAATCAACACATTTATATAAAGAAATAATGCATAAATAATTATTTATTTTATAAAATAATGTAAACAATATTATAGTTTTTAAATTAAGTTTAATTGAAATCATTGAAAAATTTATATACAATGTGAAGTACAAAACATAATTACGATTTTCTCAATTTTTTTAAATGGATCAACCAATATTTTATTTTTTAGAAATATTGTACTTATGCTACTTTTTCATCTTTATATGAGCCGTTGAAAGCCAGAGTGGTACAAGTCACAAAATTCTATTTTTGCCAAATATCGGCAAAACATTAATTTTACAGGAATCTATATTCACACGAAATATGAAATAATTATGTTTGCCAATGTACCCAGAGATGGCACAAATAGTTTACCTAGTTAACGAAATGCTAATAGCATTGAAAGGCAGAGTGGTACATGTCCGTAGACACGTGACTAATACCACTGTGGCATTTAACAGATTTTAGTAGCACGGTTGAAATTAGTTTATTATGAGATCTAAAACATGAGTTCTAGTGAATCTGAAATAGAACCATTTCCTGCTGGTGACAGTGGATATGAACCAGGCAGATTGGATAATTCGAAATCATCATTATCTTCAGGTACAAATAGTTATTATTTACATTTAACAAAATAAATAACATCTAAATTATTTTAGATGAGAATGAAAATGTTTTATCTGATGAGGCATCAGGTTCTCAAAGTAAGCATGAAAGTGGCAATCAAAGGAAACGAGTTGGAAAAAAGCGCTTTAGAGAACCTGAAAAACACATCAATGTAATATGTAAGAGAAATAGGAATACAGGACGTGAATATTACAGTACATCTGGCAAAAATGTATCACAAAAAGCATTTTCTAATACTAATTATAATTGTAAAAAAATGTTTTAACCAAATTGATGAGCAAGAGAGAAAAACAGTATTTGAAAACTTTTGGAAAATGGGCGATTTTTTGTTGATACTATGATACAGAATGGTCGACTTGAAAGAGCAGTTCAACGTTCACGTGTTTAATCGCCTGGAGAAGATTTGCGAGGTTGGCATAAACCAAAAAATAAAACTCCTGAAGAACGTGTAGAATATGTACGTGAACACATTGGCAGTTTCCCCATGTACCAGAACAATTACACCCGAAGTCATAATCCGAATAGAAAATACCTCGATACCAGTCTGAACATAAGAATTGTGTACAATATTTATAAAGAAAAATGCTCAACAGAGAATATAAGTCCAGTATCGGAAGCAATGTACCGAAATGTATTCCATCGTGATTTTAATCTACACTGTCATAGTCCATCTAAAGAGACATGTGTGAAATGTGATACATTTAAGGCAAAACTAGCGTGTATCACCAATGAGCAAGAAAATACTGATTTAAAAACACAGCATGCGTTGCATTTATTGAAGGGTGAAAAGGCAAGAACAAGTCAAGCTAATGAGAAGGAATTGACTATTGTAAATATAGGAAAAATTTACTGATTTACGTTCAACCTAGAAAATGCTTTGCCTTTTCCGACATTAACCTGTTCCATTGCGTATTATAAAAGAAACATGTACGTATACAATTTCGGGATACACGAGTTGACCGAAAAAGAAAAGTCTTTTATGTATGTTTGGGATGAAATCACTTCTTCCAGGGGATCACAAGAAATCGGATCATGCATATGAAAGCATATTATGACAAATGCAAATGCAGCAAAGCATATTATATTGCTTACAGTGACGCTTGCGGCAGTCAAAACCGCAACTTCAAGCAGTGTTTGTTCTGGTTAAAATTAATGGTAGATACAGATATTAAAGCAATAGATCATAAGTTTATTGTGTCAGGCCATTCATTTTTACCAAATAATCAAGATTTCAGTCAAATTGAACAGTATGCCAAAAATTGTTTAAAATATACGCCTGAAGACTGGTATACAACAATTAGAAAATGTAGGACAAAAAATCCTTTTTCGGTGTACGAAATGAAAAAGCAAGACATTCTCTCCATAGTAGCAGTGGAAAACTCCGTAACTCGCCGCAAGAAAAATGAAAATGATTGTACAGTATCTTGGTTGAACATCCAGTGGCTGCATTTTGAGAAAGATCAACCGTACAAAGTATTTTATACGACCTCTTTGAATGAAGACTTCAGTTTTGAAACAATTAACAATTTTCCACAAAACAATAAAAATGGTGCCCCTAAATTAATGAAAAATATGAAACTTACACCACTGTACTCTGCTCCACTTAAAATTAGCGCCAATAAAAAAAGGATATGGTGGATCTACTCCAGTTCATACCACCCTATCAACAGGAGTATATTAAGAATATTTTGGAAGGCCCGTCCATTGAAGATATTGGACCCTTGGGAGAGGAAGAACTTACATGATTTTATGATTTTTTGCTAACAGAATATTAGTTTAAGCTGTAGTTATTTTTATTACTTTTATTAGTGTTGAGAAGCAAAGGGGTCTATCACAAATTATTTAAAAACCAAAAGTAAAATTAAAATTATCATGCTAATTTTACACCAAAATCTAAGTTAACATGTTTGTAAACTATATTGAATAAAAAAATTATAATAACACGTCTCAGGATTTTTCAGTAGCATCTAAACTATAAGGCTTTGTATCTCACAATATGCTTGGAGCGACTTATACCACTCTGGCTTTCAATGGTTCATATAGCATTCCCTATACCTAAACTAATTAATTTAGTTTAGGTATAGAGAATGCTATATAAAAATGAAGGAGTATCATAAATAGAATATTTCTAAAAAATAAAATGTAGGGGTGGTTCATTTAAAAAAATTGAGGAAATCGTAATTTTGTTTTGTAGTTCACCCTGTATACAAATTTTAGTCAATGATTTCAATTAAACTTAATTTAAAAACTATAATATATTGTTTACCTTATCATATAAAATAAATTGTTTATGCATTACTTCACTATCTCTATGTGATTGAAATAGAAGTTTATCAGCAGCCAATGATTTTGGCCTAGGAATTTAGCAAAAATCTTGCGACATTTCATCTAGCTTTCGAATTTATTTAATTCTTCTTCAGGACATCTGAGGAAATGATTATATTAGTAAGTACTAACTTATATAAAATGAATGATCTCGGAACTTACTCAAGGAGAGACTTGGTTTAAAGCTGTGACTTCTACATATTTTCTGGGATTTAGTTTTTTAATATACAATAATGTGCATCACTTTGGTTATAGTTAAGCTTTAAAGTACTCATATTTTAGTCAAACTTGTATGTTACCATTGCTTACCTTTGAATCCGAACAGAAATTTAGGTTATGTTTTCAGAGGAAACTGGTAGATGACTCACATTACTTATCATGATTATTGATTGCCTATGTGTTTATTATTTTTGGTAGGATAATATGTACCAGTAAATGTTACTTAATTTTCCTGTTAATATATTTTTTGTTTTTTTAATGTATCATTTTCAAAAATATACGTTTTTGTTCAATTCTTTCCTTATATAAAATCCTTGCCTCAGAGAAATTTCTTTGAAACAGTTTGAATTATTTGTTATTATCAACAGGAGAAAAAGATTTTGAGTAAAAAGTCTTCAAACATTTGTATGTTCGTTAAAAACAGTAGTCATTGACTACTGGCAATCAAAGTCATATTCTGTACATATAATGTAAAATACAAAATCTATATGTTACGATTAGTTTTCTTCATTTTTAGACCCATTTTCTTGCTTTTTGAACTCAGGTCTTCCCAAAATATCCAGGATTTCTTGTTCTGTGGCTTTATTAAGAAATTTTTCTCTAGCAAGCCTACTCAATCAGTCCACTCTTTTAAGGACTTTTCATAATTCGTGGAACATTATCACTGGTAACTGAATTTCTCTAGACTTCTCAATAAGTTGTCGTAGGTTCCATATTTGTTCTCGAACACCTTTTCCTTTTACAAAACCTGCTTGTATAGTATTTTTTTGTAAGTCAACTAAGGGAATATTATTATGTGATTGATCTACTTACTAATTATAACAGGTGTGCTTCTCTCCGCACTCCCTGTACTGCTACTTCTCTCTTGAGATACAGGCGTAACTACACTAGTTTGATTGTTGACAATCGCCTTGTGGGGACTGAGAGATGTATTTACAAGTGGCACTGACACTACAAGCGACTGGGATATCACTTGCGTTGTCTGAATGACTGGTGGTGTTGACACAACAGGTGGTGTACTGACTGTTGGTAACGATTCAGAAGTTGTGGGTTGAACTATTGTTTTGGTGGGAGATATCGACGTGAGAGCCACCACGGGCTGGTTGGATATTATTGCTTGTGTTGTTTCGATCCTCGCCTAAACAGAAAAGTTTAATAATATTTTTTAAAAGAAAAGGTCACTGTAAAATTTTCAAAAAACATTTTTTGATTATTAGTTTAAGGCGCTTCACCCAATAAAAACGTAATTCCCTTAAATATGTCTTAATAATCATCTGATCTTAATAAAATATTCACAGCTCATAATATCTGCTTAGATGAAAATAAAACATGCAGTATAAAATTTTGGAAAAATACTTGTTATTTGGAATCTTCAGAAAATTCTAGAAAAGAAGCATATCTTTCGATATAATTTCATAGATATTTTCTATTCCAAAAATTTCTATAGGTATTGAACCAAACGAAATCTTTTGAAAACACAATTCATACAGCTTACATTACATAATGATAAGGATTGGAACTGTATGAGAACAGTTAATATGTATTATCTCTTTTTTGATTTTATGATTGCGCCTAACATAATCCCTTGATAATCTTCCTCTTCTAATGGCGCTACAACCCTTTGTGAGTCTTGGCCTGCTTAACAATGTTCTTCCATTCTGACCTGTTGGATACTTTCCTTCGCCACTGCCTGATGTTCATGGTTTTAAGAGGGGCCTTCCTCTTGTTGTTTTCTTGGGGCTTCCATCTCTGGACTACTTTTACAGCTCGATTATCTGGCAATACTTCTAGGTGACCATCCACTTTAGTCTTTGTGACTTTAAAAATCTAACAATATCTGTGCTCTGCATTAGTTCATCCAGCTCGTGGTTCATTTCTCCATGAATATCGCTCCATTGGGTTGGTCCAAATATCTTCCTTAGTATTTTGCGCTCAAATATTCTCAATTGATTTTCATCAGTGGTTGAGAGGGTTCACATTTCACATCCATATGTGACCACTGGTCTAATTACTGTTTTGTAGATTCTAAGCTTAGACTCACGATTCCGTTATATATTTCCGTTAAAAATCCATGCTTGTATCTTTGACTGATGTTGTTGTCATTTATTATTGAGCCTAGTTAGGGAAAAGTGGGGACATTTGTAGGTATGGTTGTCTAACTTCAGATTCTCATATTGATTCGATTTTGTGCACTCCATATATTTTGTTTTGCTTTATATAGACTAAATATATGTATAGACCAAACGGTTGAGTTTACCGAAAATACAAGCTTAATATAGCTGCAAATGTCAACCACGAAATAAAATATTTGGGATTGGCAGTATTGGGATGTTTTTATAATTCAAATATAAAATATTTATAATTCAAATATAAAGAGAGAAAGCCTTTAAAAAGTAAATTTTGATTATACTATTTTATGAATTCTGCAATTTTTAATTTCTATGAAAATACTGAGTAAATATTTGTCTCTTTCGAGATTAATTGCAAACATCTGTTGTAATCTGGCAACTGCTGATTTGATGATTGCCAAATTTTCATTTAACGAGCATCTCATCCGCATCAGAAATAAAATAGATTCTCTTTTTTATTTATTTGTTAAATGTTTTATTACTGTTCTTTTCTCTAAAGTTAGTTTCTATTTTCAATATTTTTTGGCAAGAACTTACGCCTTCCTGATCTAGATATTTGTTTTACTTTCTATTTCATGCTTTATTTTTGTCTTCTACCTATTTGGATTTGTTATCAAACCAGTCTGGTTTACTTTTAGCTTTGTTTCTGCTTGATAATGCCATTTTTATTACCTTCATTCGCTGCCATATGTCGTCGACATATTCTTCATTTGATGAATGCTGATTTGAAGAATTTGATGAGCATGTTAATTCATTTTTGCGATTAACCCATTAGCGCCTATCGATACCATTAGGTAACGTTAATTAGATATTTTTACCGCACCCGCTGTTGTCAAAATCAAGAATATATAAGCATGTGCGCTGTGTTTACATGTTCACTGGACACTCAGCTTTCAGTTGATGCAGGTTGCAGGTTGTTTTACTTGTGTTTGGTGGTCATTTATATAGACATTTTGCTGTCACATTGCATTGCGCTAGATGCGAAAATGGAACCTCAATAAGTACACTTTTATTTACACTTATTATTTGATTATTTTTAAAACGATCGTGATGTGGTATTGAATTGGTTATGGAAGACATATCATTAAAAAAAATAAAACTAAATAGGTTTGACAATAGGGCAGTAAACTCAAAAGTTTGTAATCCCATATGATCTCTGTAGACATTTTGAGACTGTGTAGTTTTTTAATGGTACATTATTTTATAACAAACTTTTAACATTTTAGAAAAGCTTTTTCGATTTTGAAGCATTGGATATTATATGGGGTGATGACGGGATACAGCAGAAAGTGGATCAAATTTTTGTGGAGTTGCCGGAAACTAACGTGGAAACTGACAGGGATTCGGCGGAAGAAGATACTTCAGAATCTGAATGGTAATTTTTTTGTTTTTGTTCAAATTTCAATATTTTAAATTTATTGGTCGTCAGTTGCGTGCTCCAGCTAAGATCAAATTGCTAAATAATGATAGAATTGGGGAGTGCAACGATATCGACATAGCTAGAAAAGTAGGTGTAAAAATATTTTCATTTCACATTACTAAAAAGTTAGTGAGATGTTTTATGGTTTCATTTTACTTTCAGATAACTTCATAAGACATTTCTCCAACTCATAAAAATATTATTTCGATTTCTCCAGAAGAAAAGGAATGGATTTCCGATGGTCTCTCCAAAAAGTTACCAGCCAAATGGATTTCAGGCGATCTTCAAGCAATGCCTCGAAAATTTCCAACAACCACTTTTTCTATATATAAAGATATGTCACTGGTTAAATTATTTGAATTTTTTGATAAAAAAATTTTTGAATTCCTCGCAGAACAAACGCAACGCTATGCTCATTTTAAAAATGAAGCTGTCCCGGAAATAAATTCTTCAGAAATATGTTGTTTTTTCGGAATACTTATACTTAGCGGATATAATAATTTGCCAGCAACACGTCTCTAGTGGGACATGAAAGATAATACCCTTAAAAAAATTGTAGCAGAGGCTATGAAGCGAGACAGATTTTTTTAAATTAAAAAATTCATTCATGTGGCCGACAACACCCAAATAGATCAGTCTGATAAGAAGATACAACCTCTAATGAACCACTTACAAGGAAAATTGTTTCACTCCAGAATTTATCATACAATGAATCTATGATCAAATATTACGGGCGCCACGGATGTAAACAATGTATCTGTGGTACTAAGGGATGCTTTCTAGTCAATTTTGACCTTTATCAGGACACTAATCCTCATGAAAATGTACAGATTAGCCAGTTGGTAGGAAAATGTTAATGCTAAAAGAATTACCAATGCCACAATTGCCACACATTTTACACATAGATAATTTAATTACTGGGTTAAACTTGCTGGCGGAGTAAACGAACAGGGTCTGTGGAGAAGACGATATAACTTTGAACTCTATAGACTTTTTGGTGATGCAGATATTGTGAAGACCATCAAAATAAACCGCCTAGGGTGGGTGGGCCACGTTATGCGGATGGATGAGAGTGATCCCACTAAAATAACTATGCTAAAGAGGCCGGTCGGAAGAAGAAGGGGACGACCTAAACTCAGATATCTGGACGATGTACAGGAAGATCTGAGGGAGATTGGAGTGAGGGGCTGGAGAAGGCAGACACTCGATAGGGAAGGATGGAAGAATGTTTTGAAGCAGGCCAAGGCTCACGAAGGGCTGTAGCGCCAACTGATAATGAAACTTGCTGGCATACCTTCGACATTTGGGTTATTGGGCCATAGGTACAATCAGAGAAAGCTAAATACTGAAGTCGTGTCCCTTAACTAGCAAATAAGACTTAAAAAACGTGTGTGGAAACTTTGAACAAACTGTGAAAAGAAACGACAACGTCCTTTTGGTTCATTGGATGGATAATTCAGTTGTTACTTTAGCATCAACAAGCGCCGGAGTTCAGCAGAAAAGACAGTCAAAAGATATTACCACAAAGGAAAAAAAACATATGATGGTGTCTCATCCAAATTTTGTGGCTTCTTACAATCAAAACATGGTACAGACTGACCTAATGAATCAGGGTATAGCTACTTACTGTATTGAATCAGGGGCAAAAAGTGGTATAGGCCAATTTTTACATGGCTGATCGATGCAGCAATTCAGAATGGCTGGTTCCTTTAAAGTAAAAATATAATAAGATGTCATCATTGAATTTAGACGAGAAATAGTACAAGTATAGATTCCTGGGCCTATCAGCATAAATACAAATTTACTTTCAGATATTAGATTCGATTCAATGAATCATTTTGTGATATAGTGCAACAGAAGATGTGCTGGAGAAGCCTGTAACTATTTTGGAAGAACAATGTGTCAAAATGTAACATTGGACTTTGCATTAAATGTTTTGCACCTTACCACACTAAATAAGTCAACTTTTTTAATGTTAATCTACATTTTTAATGTCATTATATTGTCATATATATTGTATACTTTTTTAATGTCATCTATAAATCTTAAAAAACAAATTCTCGGTCTTAATGGATTAATAAAAAGTCATCACTATCACATATTAAACGGCGTTGAAGCTTGGACGTTATCAGTCATCTAGTTACGACGTTTAGAGAGCTTTGAGATGTGGGTATTTCGTCGCATGCTGAAAATTCCATGGACCGACCGCGTTAGAAATGAAGAAGTTTTAAGGCGTATGAATAGAGAACGTGAACTCACAGAAATTGTCAAGAAGCGTAAAACATTTTATTTTGGACACATATTTAGACACGACAGGTATAACTTCCTTCAGCTTATTATAGAAGGGAAAATAGAAGGCAGACGCGGTCCGGGTAGACGACAAATGACCTGGCTGCGCAACATCAAAAATTGGACAGGGTTAGAATTTCAAAGTTTAATAAGGAAAGCCCAAAATAGGGAAGACTTTGCAGAGGTCATCGCCAACCTTCGCTAAGAAGACGACACCCAAATAAGAAAAATCACTATCCATTTCCTCTCCTCTATAGCTTCAGTAATCTGTTACCATTTTTTCATGCTTCTTTATGTATCAGTACATATATGGTCTATTTGGTTTGAGTACTCTTTATTTGGTGTTAACCAGATACCTTTATGGATATCTTTATGTTGGATTTTTTTGTATTTACTACTGATAGACTTTCTATCGTTGCCAGGTTAATAAATCTGTTCATTATCGTTACTAATTTCATATTATTGTAATTGCCTATAATTGGTTTGTATACAGTGTAGGAAAATTTTTATGGTCGGTATGGTAAAATTTAACAGGATATCTAACGCAGATATAAAATCATATTTTCAACGAATTAGACAAAGATAACAATCATATTTCCCCTTCGTCTCCCCTCTTAAAATCCTTTTAACACTCATTGGCCATTGCCCATTGGTGAGACGATTAGTTCCGATCAGATATTCTCTGGTTCCGATCCTAATATACCTAAAAAACTAGAGGTGGGTCTTCTCGTTTTTTTAATTTTTATCGGAACCGTTTTTCGTAAACTGTAACTAGTTGATTGTTTACCAGTATTCAAATTAGCGAGTACACAAACATATTAGCTATTATCGTTTATGTGTATAAGTATTGAAATAAAAGAACCTAACGAAGGATATATTTATTGTAACTTGAAAAATAAATTAAATAATAAAAATGGTACTTAAATAGTTACATTTACATTACACATTATTAAATCGCGAATCGTCTAAATTGACATTTAAAAACATAAGTTTTTCCACTTTTCTTGTTAATCGCGTTCTTCTTTTATTTAAAATTATACCAGATGTTAAACATGTGTTCACAAGGAAAAGATTTTGTTACAATACTACAACATTTTATGAATATAGTGGTTAAGTTACGATATACATGGCGATGGTTTTTTCACCACGGTAATGGACAATCTCCGTTCGAAATTGTTTGTGGGTAATATATCATCAGACAATTACATGTCGACTTCTTTTATACCTCTCGATACAGGTGTATGTTTAGATGAGTCATGTCCAATTAATTCATCAAAAATACACCATGGACTTAAGTCATCTTTATCAGTTTCTTTTTCTTGGACTGATTGATTTTCAAGATTTACTAAACTTTTCGTTTCATCCGTTTTCCATAGTTAAAGAACCAGCTTTTAAAAAGTTTGCAGGGTGGATTCCTGGATATAAACCGCCAACAAGAAAAACTTTGTCAGGTTCATTACTTCAGGAATGTTATGTCAAAAGTGAGCAAATTATTAGATCGCAAGTTGTTAAAGAAGTAGAAAATATCTGTATTACTACTGACCTCTGGACATCTGGAGTAACTGAGAGTTACTTCGCATTAACAGGACAATATTTAACCGAAAATTTAGTATTCAAAACTTTTTTATTAGGCTGCTGCCATTTTTCTGGAAACCATAATCCAGAAAACAGCGATTACTGAAATCATTAATCAGTCGGGTCTAAAACGAAAAGTAAATTTTGCAGTAACTGATAATTCCTAAAATATGGTCAAAGCTATTAAATATGTTTTGTTTTATGATGATTGTGATTTATGATGATGATTAAATTTATTGGTGGGGGGACGCACTTAAATGCTGTCGTGTACAAATAGATAAAATAAAAAGTCCTTTTTTCGACAATTCTGCAAAAAACACATTTCAAAAAAGTACCTTATCTTCAGAAAGGCTTTTAAAGTATTAATTACAACAGAACACAGTTCCCAAACGGCCAATCCAAGACGTGGAAACTAGGAAGAACTTCACCTATTACATGTTAAAAAGAATGACCGAGTTAGAAGAGGCAACCCGTTCCACATTGGTATTAAATAATACAGACTTAGACTTAAACCTAATCTAAATAAAGAACACTGGATTATTTGTTCTCAACTTTCCCAAATTTTACGGCCGTTTAAAGAAATAACAAGTACAATGAGTGACCAAAAATACTTGAATGCTAGTTCAGTGATTGTTATGGTACGCTGCCTGCAAGAATCTTGCAATAAAATTTTAGCAAACGGCATACTTACATCCATAGTATATGACATAGTACAATTACTAATATCGGGTTTAGCAAAAAGATTTAGCAGAAGCATCATATCAGCAGATGGCAGAGTTAAGATAGATGTACAAAACCGAATAACCCAAGGGAAAAAATGCATCCGAATACTGAATTCATTACTGTGGTCTAATAAAATAAAGATGCATACCAAACTTCGCGTATACAGAGCAATTGTAGAACCAATTACCACATATGGTGCCGAATGTTGGACGATGACAAAGAATGAACGAGATAAAGTAGACGTTGTGGAAATGGATTATCTTAGAAGGTCATGTCGAGTATCGAGAATGGAAAGAATCAGGAATGAGGAAATACGAAACCGTACAGGAATTAGAGATACTCTTTCAGATAGAATACAAGGAAGGCAATTACAATGGTATGGTCACGTGATGAGAATGGAGGAGGAGCGGTGGCCAAAGAAACCCTTAATGTATGTTCCGCCAGAAAGAAGGAAAAGGGGAAGACCACCAAATTCCTGGAGAAGAGAAATTACAAAAACAATGCAATCTAGAGGCTTAGAAGAGGGAGATTGGGGAGATAGGAAAAGATGGAGGCTGAAATGCGGGAAGCGGCAATCGCCGTAGGACCCCCGTTATATGATGATGATGATTGTTTAGTTTATTTTTCAAGTTATAATAAATATATCATTAGGTAGTTTCTTTCACTTCAAAAGATATACACATAAACGATAATAGCCGTTATGTTTGTTTATGTAGGTACTATCTTACTTGAAACTACTTTTAAACAATCATAGTTACTTGTTTATGAAAATTAAAAATTTTAAATGCTTTTTAGCATTCAAAAAAATTTAAATTTTTTTGGAATCCTGAGAAAACTAACAAATATTTTTGAAAAATTTAAATGCAGAATGAAAGATTACATTATTACCGAGGGCCGAAGGTCCCTTAGAATAAACAAAATGTTTTTTTAATGAGATATTTGAAATTAAAAATCACACTAAATTTTGTTTTTTTTTTCATCCCTATAACTTATTAAAATAAACATTATAGAAGTTTTCAGGGACTTTAAGCTCTCGGTAATAATGTATTGTTTCATTCTGCGTTTAATTTTTTCAAAAATATTTATTAGTTTTCTCAGGATTCGAAAAAAATGAATGCATTTAAAAAACTCTGGTCCGAAATTTTGCTCCTAAGCTCTTAACGATAAACTAGCACGACCCACCTCTACTTCTCGTTACTCGATCTTTTGACCAGACGTGACCAGACGACTATCTAGACTAGACGTTGCCAAATAAATTAGTGTATGAATATTTTTTAATTTGGCGTTATTGTATGCATGTTTAATTGTTTATTATTTCATATTGGGAAATTATTTTGATGTTTAGATTTTTAGTTCGGAAATCGTACTTAAAATACGAAACATTAATAAATTTTATTTATATAAAACGATTTCCGAAATGGAAATCAAAATGTTATATTACAATTATTGTAAAGAAAACTTGTGGCATATTCCCAATAAAAAAAACAGTAACCTGCCATTTAAATCAATTTCGCCCAAATTTGATTATCTTGAGCATTTTATCTTCTTGATAGAACATTGTTCAAATGCAAAAAAAGACAACAGGTCAAATAAAACCAATAAGTTTGGCAACGTTGAATTTCCCCTTTTTTAATATTTCCATTCGGCGATATAAAGGGCGTACCTAATATACCTCTCTCTTTTTAAACAGCTGTTTCTCACTCCATCTCACGTAAGGTCCATACCGACCATAAAAATTTTCCTACACTGTATATCTCTCTCCTTGCATGAAAGTCAGCGATGATCAGCTTTATATCTCGTTTTGGTAATCAATTAAAGTACTTTGCTTGCATCTTACATCTTTTTAAAAAAGTTCTTTTTGTTCATCTTCGTTATCTTCACTAAGTGCATTCACATTCAGGATACTTACAAAACTATCTTCCATTTTTATTGCAGTAAACTGCAACTGTAATAAGCAATAAAAACTAGAAAACATTAAAATAATACCTGGATTTTCTTTTCTGTACATTACTTTGCAAAATGATGATTATTTCAAAATTCACTTGCAACTAGATCATTCATTTGTATTTTGTTAATATTTGATGAAAACCTATAGAATTTATATTTTCGAAAATTGTTTAAAATCACTCCTATAAAAAAATTCATATGAATAATAATAGCTTGAATATTACCAAAACAAAACGAAATAATTTTACCAGTTCCCAACAAAACAAATTATTTACTTATAAGTGCCACAGCATAAACTAATAAATAATTTTAATTTGTTATAAGAATGTCACTGTTTACAAAATGAGGGAATTGATAACCTTATCAGACTTACTTTTTTCGTCTTATCTGCACTATCACTTACAGTACTTTTTTTGTCACTAGTTATAGTACTGGTTGTGTTAATAGTTGATGTACCAGTAAGGGTCACTGTCGTCACAACACTTACTTCACTAGAATTCCCGCTACTCACGGGAGTGGGCGTCCTTGAATTAGCTTTTCGCTTTTTTGAACCTTTAGTGTCTTTCACTTCTTTCTGTTCACTTTCCACGTCTTTTTTGTTCGATTCGGCGTTATCGGCGGGAGGAGTCTCCTCGCTCTTTCCACTTTTCACTGTCACTTTAGTTTTGTCACTAGCTTTATTATTATTGTGGACGGTTTTCTGTTGTTGTTGGGAGTTAGTGTTTTTACCGGAGTTTTTTGTCGCCGGAGCTTTGCTTCCTCCTTGGATGGCTTTCCGTTTACCGGACGAGGGTGGTGAAATTCCGACTTTGGAATTCGAAGGACCCCCCTCCGGTTCCTTTTCGGAATTGGAGTCGGAGTTGTGTGCCTCGTTGGCAACTGGTTTGTAAGGAGGAATCGTTTTGACGTTACCACCTTTTTTCTAAAAAAAAAAAAAAATAAACAACAATTCAAACATAATTCATAACAAACATTGCATTTTATTAATTAAAACAACAAAAAACTGCATTCGTCAATGTAAAGAGTACCGAAGTATGTCAAAGTAAATTTATATTTGATCGGTTGGAGCAAAAACATACCCAGGTTACCAAGCACAAAGTGTACAATGGTGTTATCATCCATTTGCTTTTGTCCTGATCTACCACTTCTCAGTTTTCAATAAAATCGTAGGTTGTTCTCCCCAGTACAGTTTGCTGCCATCTGTCCATTGGTACAAATTTTGTTTCAGAAGACTTTCCTTGACCTTTAAAAAGTTTTTCAGGCGAGAGCAACTTATCTGAGCGTATTATATTCAGTCAGAACTTTGCGATAACGAAATACCTGATCTTCTGGCGAAAGTAATTTTTCGTCCGACTTCTGTCTTTTGATTTGCAAGGTTATTACTACACCAGGACACTCTCTTGTTGAAATAACTCACTCTCTCCGGAAAAATTGTCTACGGATACCGACATGACAACCTCTTGAAATGGTTTGGCAGCCACGTCTAGGTCTAGTGTATGCCTTACCATCCCTTGCCTAAACAATACTCTGCCCTGTATAAAAAATATTCCAGAACCGTTTGACATGCTTCCCAGTCTGTTTTACGAAAGTTATAAGTTTCCTTGATAGGCCCATTACCTGTGGTATTTCAAAACAAATGTGTCGATAGTACGAACAAGACTCATTTTATACATGCTATTTTTTTACAATTTGAGTCACGTGAGTTGTTTCGCTGTTATATCAATTAGCTGCTTTCGTTGTGAAGTTACGAAAATTGGTTTGCTTCCTACATTTAGTATGTCTAGATCATATTCCATAAAAAACTGTAGTAATAACTCTTTCATTGATGTTTCTACTACCCCAGGTAAATTGGTGCGCTTTCTCATCACAGCCGGTGATCAGTTGCAATCCATTTGTTCCTAAATATCTCAATAACTGTTCCAACTTCCATGATGGTGGTTAATTGTCATTATCAGATTTTTAAGATTATCATATATTTCAAATCTGTTGAAGACAATATTCATAGCGACCAAAAGTACAAACAGTTAAAATTGAAAAATGAATAAAATTAATCTTTGCATTTTTGCATAAAATTTTATTTTTGAACATGTTCCAATTCTACATAAAAATAAATTTGATAGTTTAACCTTAAAAACATAAAGTATGACCAAAATTGGCTCTTTAGGGACGCGTAGCTCGTCCATACAATTAGGATTGTTGTATTGAACAATGGTTAAAAATAAGTTTTAATGTACTTACCAGTTTACTGTAATGATGTTGGCAATAGCCACAATATTTAACGTTATCCAAATAGTTTCCGGCTTCTTCGCAAAGAAGTCCTAATCCTTGGGCACAAGTTACGTGAAATTGTTGCTTGCAACCAACCTTATTGCACTGCATACAAGCACCTACAGCTGCATTAGACGGTTTCCCTTTCTCTTCGCAAATATAGCAAACCTATTAAATAAATTAAATATTAGGAATTACAAAAAAAAAGAAATTGTCCATCCTGATCACTTTTCCTCACAGGGAGGCCTAACGAACAATTTTACGCAATAGTTAGCTGTAATTGGAGACCCTTTGATCAAGAATCAATTTAGTTTTCATTAACTGTAAACCTCATTATTGATCTGCAGAATTACACCATACTTACCAATAGTAAAAAAGCAGTGTAATACATCAGTTTAGTTAGGCACACAAAAAGAATGACCAAAAACTGATCTGCAGGATTACACCATAATTCCAATAGTAAAAAAACAGTGAAATAGATCAGTTGAAGATGGCACACACGATGAATGGCCAAAAACTGATCTGTGGTATTACAATGTGCTTCCAATAGTAAGAAAACAGTGAAATACATCAATTGAAGATGACACACAAGATGAATCACCAAAAATTTATCTACAGGATTACAACATGCATCCAATAGTAAAAAATCAGCAAAAAACATTAGTTGAAGATAGCACACAAGAAGAATGTCCAAAAACTTATCTGATGGATTACAATGTGGTTACTAATACAGTGAAATACATCAGTTGAAGATGGCACACAAGATGAATTGCTAAAGATTTATCTGCAAGATTACAATGTTCTTCCAATAGTAAAAAAACAGTAAAAAACATCAGTTGAAGATGACATTCAAGAAGAATGTCCAAAAAAGGATCTGCAGGATTACAATGTGTTTACCAATAATAAAAATCAATGAAAAACTTCAGTGGTTGAAGAAGGCACACAATATTAATGACCAAAAACCTATCTGCAGGATTACAACATGTTTCCAATAGTAAAAAAAAACAGTAAAAACCATTAGTTGTAGATGGCACAAAAGAAGAATGACCAAAAACTGATCTGCAGGATTACACCGTGCTTCCAATGGTAAAAAAAACAGTGAAACACATCAGTTGAAATACATCAGTTGATGATGGCACACAAGAAGAATGGCCAAAAACTTGCAGGATTACTACGTGCTTTCAATATCAACAAAAAACAATGAAATACATCAGTTAAAGATGACACACAAGAAGAATGGCCAAAAACAAATTTGCAGGATTACACCATGCTTACCAACAGTAAAAAAACAGTAAAATACATCAGTTGAAGATGGACACACAATTGACTTGAAGATTTAAAAGTGAATGCCATAAAAATATTATATCTTGACAATCAAACTTATGAAAATCGAGAAGACATATAATTGTTTTTAAAAAGTTTTTTTGGGATTCCATGAAAATTCTTTTAAATCGAGTACCTGTCAAAGAATCAGGCAAATAATTGAGAATACTACACATTTACTTGAACAACCATATAAAAAATATAAAGAAAATTCCTGGTGGTCAAAAAAACTTTCAGTAGAACAAAGCATCTGCAAAAGTGTTTTGTTAATGAGAAATTTGAATAATTTGAATTACGCGATTTTTGAGTAACCTCTACCTTAAACGATTTGGCTCGCTCTGAAATTAATTTACTTGAAAAATTCAATAAATTGCTAGGTAGGCGTTTTCGGATGTGACGAAAGACTTTTCAGTCATTGGACTCCCGATTTATTGAGCAAAGTGTAAATAACTAAAAGAGAAGAGACTTTCTTCTGATAGTGAAAAGCAAAAAGTGTAAGAGAGACATACTTACTTTATTAAATCGTTCAGCAGGAATCAACTGCAACTGAATCGGTTCCATAGTAGTAACATTTCCAAATCGCACTTCTGGAATATACAAAGCACAGACAACATGTGCCCAACCCGAATTGTCGGTACGTTTGAGAGCGCCATATTTGCTGGGACACAGCTCGCATTTCTAAAACGCCACAATACTCATTAATTAAAAATGTCATAGTAAACAAAATTAGATAAATTCGTTAAATTTTAATCGTTCAAAATTAATTGTAAATTCAAAATAGGACAAATTCTAAATGCAAAGTGGCCATTCCTTAGTTGTTCAGGGTTATTACCTATAAAACAATTTCTTATAACGACCTGATTTAAAAAGTTTACATATATTTATTATAATACTTAGTTGAACGATTGCATAATTGATATTGTCTCTTAACTCTCATTTAAAACGTAAAATAAATATAATTCAAGTATATGCATCCACTGCAGACAAGGATGAAGATACAATAGACATTCTACATATGAATAAATTGGCTATATAATATGTTGCTAACTAAAAGACATTATATAAATATCATAATGGGCGATTTAAGGATTTAAGAGTAATCGTTTTTTAAGGAGAAGTGGAGAATTGTTTGGGGCGATATAAATTGAAAAGACGAATGAACGTAGCGATAGGTTGGTTGAATACTGTATTAATAATCTGTAATTCTTCTTCCTCTGTTTTTTCCCATTATGAGTTCGCCGTTTTAGTCATCCACAGCACTCTATTCTTCCAGTCACTTTCTCTGAGGTCTTTATCTATCATAACATTTGTACCTGTTCTCCGCCATTCTTTGTGCATGCCCGTACCACTGTAGGAAACATGTGGAATGTGAAAAACAATATCTAGGCCGTGTGATTAGAGGGACAAAATACCAGCTTTTGCAAGTTATCGTTCAGGGAAAGCGTAGCGCTGGAGCAAGACTGGACATCTCTTGCTCATCAACTGTGCGAGCTATAGCTCGCTAGCAAATTCTCAACTTCTAAAAATTATACGAGCCGCCATCGTGCTTAGGAGGGCTCGTAAAGTCGTCGGTCTCGGCTACGTAAATGGTCGTATCCTCGTACATATATTTCATAATTTCTGGTTCTATTCCAACTCTCTTCCAGCTTTTCTGTTTTTAAAGAAACGCCGCAGTTTGTACAAATAAAGACGGAAAACGCAAACAATAAGGACATGACTATAGAGACCATAGAAAGCAAAGAATCTAAATTATTGGAAAACTAACTAAAAATAGCCACGTTGAATGTTAGAAGTATTTATGAAGAGGGAGGAGTGAAAAAGTTAATTAGCATGATGAATCAATGCGTACAGGTTTTTCTTGCTCTCGTAGATCATATAGAAACCGAACGATGGATAAACACCTGTCCAAAGTTGTATCAGAACTTCAAAGAGATAGGGACCAGCACATTCATTTATTTCTAATGGCCTACCGCTCGGCCATGAATAAAACTACAGGCCAGACTCTAACCTGCCTGTCGTGAAGTTCGTTTGCCCTGAGACCTAGAGTTTGGCTGCAGACCTTCTGAAGAACATGTTGCAGGCGAAGAATATGTCACTCAGCTTAAGTTAAGAATGAACAACATGTATGAACTTGCCCGAAAACAGATCCAGTTAGCTAGTGACAGAATGAAAGATCAATATGATTCTCGATTTAGGAATGAAAGCTTTGAAGTAGGTTTTATAATCCACAAAGTAGTCGAAGCTTGTCTCCTAAACTACAAAGGCAATGGGAAGGTCCGTATAAAATTAAAAAGAGAATAAATGACGTAATATACCGAATTAAGAAGTTGCCAAAAGGTAAACCAAAAGTAGTTCACAAAAATCGTCTTGCACCTTATGCTGGCTCAAAGAAAGCAGAAGAAGTACGACTACTTCAACATGATATAAAATGACCGGCGATCAAGCTTTAATGAATTTATGTCAAATTACGCAGAGAAAAAGAGTGCTAGGTTCGGCGTGACCACAGAAGTTCACCAGGATCTTTTTAGTGTTCCGCATAACGTCTCTCTAGTCCACTATGTTGCCAAAGACCTTGAGATGACTACAGGAATCTCGTCAGTAGTCTATAAGAAGTTTGGTCGTTTGGACGAGTTAAAAATCAGCAGCCTAAAGTTAGAAGAGTACTGAGATTAGAAGATGGTCTTTGATCTTTGCTATATATGGTGACCAGGAAGTCGTATACAGACAAGGTAAGTTACAAAGATATATGGCGTGCTCTAACTAATTTGAAGAGAATCGTGTACAATTATGACATCAAGAATTTGGCCTTACCCAAGATAGGCCATGCACTAGAAAATCTGGATTGGAAGATTATCAGAAGCAGGCCTGAAGTGACCTTTCAAGAAAAAAGTGTACGAATCACTGTGTGGTGCATTAATCCGAAGAGATCCTGTCAAAACCCCATTACAATCAGTTGTGGGTTTAATCCCTTATAAAAGAATATTTAATCGTTACTCTGTTTTCATAAAAAATTATTACTTGCTATTTCATTATCTCTTCATTAATGCCCTTCTCTACAGCTTTCCCGTATATTGTATTATTTCTACTATATCAGAGGGTTTGCTTGTCTTTATTATATTGTACCTTTTAGTAATACTGTTCGTTATTGACTGTCCATTTTCTCTAAACTATTTCCTTTTTTCTGTTCTTACGAATTTGCACTTGTGACTTATCAGGTTAAATATTTTTCGGTTGTCTCCGTGACTCCAGTAGTCATAATATTTATGTATAGAAATGCCTTTTTTATCTTTCTTCGTTATTTCAAAATTGTTTAATATTCCAAGAGGTTGTTTTAATTTATTTTCACAAAAGCCCCTTTATCCCCTGTTCATATTTTTATTTGTTAATATAATGACGAACTATATTTAAATATTGAATTTATGTTGAACAACGCAATTTTTTATAAAATATTCAAAATAATCAAATAGTTTTTCAACAATAATAAGAAAATTAAACTGTCAATGACCTTGGTACGGCTTTGGTTTATTTAGTAATTTATAGCTTTACTTGAACATGACATACAATTTAAAATTTCTGCTAAATAATTAGTAGTTATAATAAGTATTTGCATGGCTTACAAATGATACTACAATTTTACCGTTCAGTTCGGATAAATCAAAAAATCTAAAGATAACTACAAAAATAGGTCCCCTGTTATACTTTGAATCAAATATAACTAGAATATATTCACAGCCAAGAAAAGTGCGCGAATATGTACATAAACACCGCATGATAATTTTGCCAGTGGCATATTCATTAACCGAAGGTATCATAGCGGTAGAGAGTGAGAGTGATTGTTTAACCACGGTTTTTTTTGGCTGTGAATACACTATAATCTAACTAGCTTTTGTCACAATAAATACCACAATACCCTTCAACATATTACAAAATTAGATACTAAGCACTCACCACTTTGACAGATCTCTCTTGACTTTCACATTTACGACAATACCACGGACCAGTTGGAACAGTTACAATACCATAACATGCTGCAAAATGTACAGTTATTAAATAAAATTTAAACAACGTATACATTATTAAATAAAACCAAGCATACCCCCTCAAGAGAAATACATATACTGTGACATTGAAAATGCAACACCCGTTAAACATAAAAATATTTTATATTATATATATTTTTGATAAATGAAAGATGCTTATATATTACATCAAAAGATCAAATTTCTAAAATGATGTCTACTTTGCCTGAAAATTGTAATAATCTTTAAGTTCCTTTAGTAAGACAAATTATTTTTATATATTATATTATTCACACAATCTGCTACCTATACATGTTCAATGGGTGAAAGTTCTGAGGACTTAGATGACCAGAGTCACGAAATAATCTAACAGTTATGGCTGTTGTCTAGGTTCTGGAAGTATCCAGTTAAAAACTGGATTTTCTAGTTGCTGCACATACAGTATAGCAGTTGGTTTTAAAATAATGGGGCATGCAGTGATGGATATTGATGCTTTTAAACTTAAACTAATGCAGACCTGCTTTCATACGAAACCTACCATAACTTTTCGGATTGCCTTCTCACTTCCTACGCAAAATCAAATTCCCCGTCTTTCAGTTATCGGCGAACTGTTCGTCGTCCATTACGGGTACAATTTGATTCGATTCCTAATCGCACTGAATACGTTTTTTACTCCACTGCAATAGCATTCCCTTATGTCTTTGGCTCAATGACAAAATAAGACGTGGTCGATAAAAATGCAAACCAAGACCTATAATAAACTGCCAGTAAAGGGAGTCTTTTTCCTGTAGCAGCCTGCGATAGACTTAGAGGTATAAAATCGGCCTCTAAGGTTATTTACGCTTTCTTACGCGTTATTTTTGCAGTCTACAGTTATTCAGATAGCAGTAATATATAGAGGATGGTCCTTCTAGTACAAGTATTTATAAAAAAAGAAACTGTAAATTCTATGCTTTAAAATATTACGATTTCAGCCAATGTACTTTAATATGTTGATATTACGAAAGATACAGAAGTTGAAATTTACATTTAGCTCATAGAGGGCGCCGCATATGCCTGGCATAAATTTGCACTTAACTTTTTTGCTGTTTAAGTTAGCCCTATTTGGGTCAAAAAATATTAAAGATACATTATTTCAACAAAAAAAAAAGATATATCTGTTAATAACTTCAAAAGTCAACCGTTTGTTTTCGAGATAATCGCATTTTATAAATCAACTGCATAATAATATTAGTAGTTGTCATATTTGTGCATTATAGCGCTGAATACCTGTCGATACGCATAACTAATAGTTTATTCTTATAAAAACAGCTCAAAGATGGTTATGTAATACTACAAAATGCTGTTTTATGGCTGCTAAATGTGTTATTTGAAGCCAATTTTGATGTCATCATTAGACAACCCCAATATTATTTAATGCATAGAGAAATCTTAACATATTAAGCTGATGTCACGAATGCTTTTGACAACTAAAAATAAGTCTTGGTTCGATTAATCAGCGACTTTTGTAATATATAGTTTATTTGGTTTACTAAAGAAAAGCAGAAAATGCCGAGTCACAATATTTTTCTAATATGGATAAGAGAGATATAATTGTAGCAATGTTTTAACATGCTACAATTATATATATTACACAAGGTGCAGCAACAAGGAAATATTTAAGATAGCCAAACAGGCTGCAACCTAATCATTTAAACATATATTTCGGAATTTAGGCGAAAGTGGTTCATTTCGACCTAAACGTGACCACCTAGGCTAACCAAAAATTATTACGCCTGGTCAAGACGAAGAAGTAATGGTGGATAGTTGAAGATGATTCTCAAGCAAGTACACGAAGTTTATCTTCAGCGTTACGAATCAGCAAAACGTCAATTTTAAAAATCCTACACCATGAGCATTTTCACCCTTACCATTTTACACCTGTGCAAAATCCATTTCCAGCAGATTTACCTTTAAGATGCAGATTTGCAAATGATATCCGAAACAGACTCAGAAATCTTGAATACCCCTTTTTCATTATTTAACAACCATTTCTGGTACACTGAAAATCCTCGTGTTAAGAGAGAAAGTCATTTTCAATATGATTTTAAAATACATGTATGGTGTGGAATCATTCGTAATCATTTATTTGTTGAAAGAATGCCATTAAACATAAGCATGACTTAAGACCATGCGATATATCCCGTAATTTGAATAGTGAGAACTATGTATTTACATTATTTACAAAATAATTTGATTGAATTGTTGGAAGAATTGCTATTAAAGTTAAGGCAAAATATGTGGTTCATGTAAGATGATGTACTTCCACATTATACGAGGGAAGTGAAAACATACTTAAATACCAACTTTCCCGAATGCTGGATTGGTCATGGTAGTCATTTTCCTTGGCCACCACATAGCCCAGAATTGAATCCGCTCGATTTTGGTATATGGAGCGCAACGAAACAGTGTGTTTACAAGAATCCCATAACCACTCGCAACCAACTTCTGGAAGATATAAATATTGCAGCAGTTTTTTTTTAAACCAATGATGCTATTTAATATCGTTGTCCCAGAAGTATAATGACACAATTTTGTAAAATTTTGAAAAATGACTTTATTTATGGACGTTTATATGTCCATACGGACTTATCCGTCCGTATGGACGGATCAAAACTGAATTTTTATAAAAATTTTAATTTAATGTAAAACGTAAAATGTTTGATGCCAAATCCTATAACACTATTAATTATCCTACTGATGTATGTAAAAAATATTAGGGTGTATACTATTTTTTCTTTAATATTTCGGAAACTATTAACTTTAGTTAAAGGTATTTCATACCAAAATTCAGAAATATTGACGTTTTTGTCTATTTTTCCTCCGTTGCCTGAAGTACAGGTCGACAGAAATATCTGAAACCGCCAAGGTCAGACCGAGGGAGATCTTTGGTTACGCGGCGTTGTCAGATCAATCGAGTTTCAAAGGTTTTTCTCCCTGTGTAATATACCTCGATCACTTCTTCTTCTTCTTCGTCTAGCCATTCACGTCCACATCTGAACATAAGCCTCTTCAAGTCTTCCTGTCCATTGTTTTCGATCACATCTATCTAATTTTTGACGATTTTTCGTGTCGTTTGTTGGGTGTTTGAAATCCAGGACTTTGTCCATTCTTAATGTCACGACCTTCTTTGGAGATTTTTTTACACTAGATAAACTGACACCTGCAAACATATATCTGTTTACTGTCTTCTTCTTTTTTTATATAGACATGACTCTGTCTGTTTTCAATGTGCTTCCAGTAAATTGTCGTTCCATCGTTTTCGTGGTCTTCCTACTGATCGTCTTCCTATTGAGGAACCGTCTCTTGCCGTGTTTACTACTCTATTTATTGTCATTCGGCTTATATGATCGTTCCATTCTACTCTTCTATTTCTTACCCAGTTCTTGATGTTCTCCACCTTGCATCTACGTCGTATATCTGTACTTCTAGCTCTGTCATAGTGGCTTACCATAAATTTTTTTAAGTGTTTTCATCTCTGCTGTTTCTAACATCATTTTTGTCCTCTGCGGGGTGGATTGGGTAGCTCTGCGATTACCACAGCCGATCCCAAGCCCGGATAAAATGTGGAGGGTGATTGGCAAGGTTCGCAACAACCCAATCGTAAAAACAAATACTGCTCAAAGAAACAATGTATTGTTTCTGTTTAATGTGTTTAATTCAATTACTTGACATGTTATACAACAATAAATCTTTGTTTATTTTGTTGGTAGTCGAAAATATTCAAAAGACTTGTTCACAAAACAGACATACATATTTTTAAACATACAATTAACTTACCTGTCAAAGTAGCTACCAGTTGTTGTATTCTATGTAACTTAATAACTAGTGAATTTCTTTCTGCTTCCTACTGAGTAAATTTTAACAAATTGTATTATTTCATGGGCTTGTGCACTTAGTCTCGTATTTTTACGGCACTTATAATATTCATGTTTATTAATAAAATAAACCTTCGGGGAGTGACCTTCGCATTTTTGGATATTTCTGTACATTTGTAATTGCGTTAAATCAGAGTTATGCAGCTGATTTATAAAACGCGAGTTTTGAAGTTATTAACAGATTTATCTTATTTTTGAAAATATTTACCCAAATAGAGCTAACTTGAAGAGCAAAAAAGCACAAATTAATGCCACATATGTGGCCACATATGTGGCCACATATCCTCTATCAGCTACATCAAACCATACATCCAGTTATAATTCCTCTTACTTAAAAACCACCAGTTATAAATGTTTATACATAAATGTTCATAAACATGAAAGTTATATTGAAAAATAAAATATTAAATTTTAACTTAAACAATCTGTTATAAAATTTATTTTTAGTAAAACTACTGAATCAAATTGTGAATATTTTTTATGATATAGTTTACTAACTATAGAATTATTTATCCCCCTAAAAAGGTATTCAAAACGTAGATTCCCTTCTTGGTTCTCTCCAGAGTTAAAGGACCTGATATTTGAGAAAAAGAAAGCTCACAAAAAATAACTTTTATCTAAATAACTTCTGGATTATCGCACTTTTTCTCAACTGTAAATTGTTAAAAGGTGAAGGCTACAGAAATCATGTTTATTTAACAGAATTATCACTAGGAAATAATTTGAACGGATTTTGATCCTTTGTGAATTCACAGAGGGGAAAGCCTCCATTGCCTGCAGTGTTGAGTTATGATGGTGTTGAATCCAGTCACAAGCCAGATATTGTAAATCTTTTTGCAGAATATTTTTCTACAGTCTATTCTACTCAAATATGTGACATACCCAGTGATTCACCTTCACTTGGTCTTACTAACTTGATTGGTTTCAACATAACTATATCTGATACTTATTTAAAATTATCAGAACAGGATATGAATAAGGGTCCTGGTCCTGATGGATTGCCTCCCAGCTTTCTTAAGAATTGTTGTTTTATATTATCCAGACCTCTTTTTCACATTTTTAATCTATACTTAAATAAGGGCGAATTTCCAG